GGCGGCAAATCCTCTCCTGCCCGCCTTCCCGGAGCTCCTTGAAGAAGTGAGATCATCCTGGGGCAAACACCCTCCAGGTCTCCTGTCCAAGGAGCCTCCTCGCTGGACTTTGAGGGTATGGATAAGGCTGACATGCTTTGCATGCTGCCGATGGATCCGCTGGTTGCAGCCCACCTGCACCCATGGGTCTCGGCAACTTCCTCCAGGCCTCCCGCTCTCCCTGCAAAGGCAGACCGCTTCCAGTCGGCGCTGAACGAGAGGGCGTACAAGGCTGCCGCCATCTCGGTTCTAGCTTTGAATGTCTCCTCCATGCTCTCAGCATACCAAGCCGAGCTCTGTGAGGACATGAATACGAAACCGGACCCGGAGGTGTGGGAGGAAATCACCGTACTGCCCGACATCTGCCTGCGGGTGCAGCGCTGCGCAGTCCAGGCCAGGGTAAAGCTATGGGCATGATGATGCTTCAGGAACGTGCACGATGGCTGAACCTCACCAACCTCTCTGATAGAGAGAAGGAGGACATTCTGGACATGCCAATTGTGCCTGAAGGCATTTTTGGCTCTGCATTGGCATCAATGCAACAACGGTGTGAGGCAAAGAAGAAAGAGGATGAAGCCCTTCAACTCTGCCTTCGCCGTAAGCCTTCACCGGCTCGGCCGACTTTTCCTCCGGCGCTGCCCGAGCCCAGCCTCAGTTCCAGATCCCAAAGCACCCGAAGCCTCAAGCAGCCCAACCAGCTCCTTCGGGCTCGGCGCCTCGACCAGTTTGGCCTCAGAGGTCCGGCAACTAAGCCGCTCCGCCACCGGGACAACCCACCCAGCCCGGCGGTCAGCAGTTGAGAAAGAAGAAAAGAGCATCCTAACAGAGTTCTTTCCCTCCCGACGCTGCAGCTGGCAGTTCCCCGTTCGCTGGCTCCACCTGTTCGGTGTTACCACGTTGCTTTGGCCGGTTGGACTACTCCCCACGTTCGTCGGGTACCTACAACCCAATCCTCAGAGTAAGAGTGAGTGTGTGGTGGCTCATACTCTCGCTTCGGTAGAAAAAGGCGTTACTACAGCTCGAATGCTTAATCCTACCAGCCAAGACATGATGCTACGAGAAGGTACACATCTTGGAGAGTTATTTTCTAGACATTTCATCATAGGCACATAAAAATTCATACAAATGACCATCAAAGCCTTCTGCCGCTCATGCATTTTGAATTTTTCCAATAGGTGCAGCAGTTTTTGAATGGCGATGAGGCATGTCAGAGGTCTGAAATGACATCTGAGCAGCTGAGCTCTGTTAAATGCATGATTTATAAAATCTTAAAAAAAAAATTCCACCCACCACATCTTTTATGGTATACTAATGATTTTCTCAAATTTAGCAGGTTTTTTTTGTCAGCTTCAAAGTGATGTCTTCAGTTTTGCTGTTGGTATTACATTTTTTGTGCTATAAGCCCCAGAAGGAGGACTGTGCCAGCTTTCCTCCATTTAAATCCCTTTAAAAAAAGGCACCTGTGGCTGACAGACAGCTGAAATGTTCTCCTCATATCTTAGATAGAGTAGCTTAACAAGGTCGCCGAATGAAGGCGGTCCCATTTTCGTGGCGCTTCGCGGCGCTTCCGCGGCCGGTGTGTCCCCGGCGTTAAGCTGATTCAGCTAACAGTTTAAGCTTACCAGCATTCAAACAGCATTTCTGCAAGAAATGCGATTTATCTAGTTGGATATTGATAAAATGCGTACAGTGCCATACAATCCCAAGTCAGATGGTATGGTGGAACGGTTTAACCGTACGCTCATTGATCAGCTGGCTAAGTCATTGTTGCCCTGTGGGGGTGAGTGGGACAATTTTTTGAAGCAAGTAGCTTTTGCATTCAACACGACCGTACATGCAAGTATGGAGTACACTCCTTACTACCTGATCCACGGCAGGGAGGCTCGTGTTCCGGTCCACCTGGTTCCGAAGCAGGCGGTGCCCTCCTATCTTCCCCTGTCACATGCGGACTTTGTTTCGTCTATGACGGATCGGTTGGAGGTGGCCTTTGCAAACATGAGGCAGAATGCAGCAGTGGCTCATGAAAAACAAAAATTTTATCACGACACCAGTACCCGCCATCAGCCGTACTCGACGGAGACCTCGTGTGGATTCAAAATCCTCAGGAGGATAGGAAGAAACTGGCTCTCCATTGGAGGGGTCCCTTCAAGGTCATAGGTGTATTGGACTCAGAAGGGGTAGCGAGTCATGTGTATCGCATCAGTGACCCCCTCATTGATGGAGCGCACCACAAGTGGTTCATTACGATTGGTTGAAACCATACACCTTGAGTTTGATTCCTGTCCCACCCTCAGGTGTCCGTCGGTGTACCACGTTGGACGCATCCTCACGGCTGGGGGACGAGGTAACAGAGGTGATGGGGGCTGAGTCATCTCGAACTGTTTCACGTGCGGGAAGGGCTGTTCGACCGCCGTGTTGGTTTAAGAATTTTGTCAATTATTATTGACTGTTGTTGCCTAAAAGCTTTGGGTTCTGGGTTTTTTATTTATTTATTTTTCCTGGTGGTGGGCCCTTGTTGGGGAATTTGTGTATGATGTTTTGTTGTGAGTTGTTATGCCTTATTGCAGTTTATGGGGGGTCTTTGTTTATGATGTTGTTTCGGCTTGTTATTATTATTATTAACATTATTTTTTTCTCTCCTCTCTTTCGTTTCATGTATTTTTTTAATTGTTTGGAAACGTGGACGTTTTTGTGTGTGTGTGTGTGTGGGGGGGGGTGTAACCCACTTTTGTGGGACTTTTATTTTGAAGGTGCTGCTAACAGGATGTGATGTTTGGAGAGAGAGAGAGAGAGAGAGAGAGAGAGAGAGAGAGAGAGAAAAGAAAGTTGGAGGAGAGTTGTTAATGGTGACGATAAATAAAGCGACCACGGGAGTTCACGGCTATCAACCTTTTCTTGAGCAACCACAATTCTATATCTTCTCCCGTCTCTTTCTGGGATGCTCGGTTACATTAGCAATAAAACAAGAGCAATTTAAACAAAGTGCATTAAAACATTCAGTTATGAAAAACATTGTTTCTTCTTTTTTTACATGATTAGCTATTTTTGGTGTTCATCTTTCTTTAGTCAGTAACAATGAAATGAGATTAGATTCGTGAGGGGTCCCACATTTTGATAGTACACTGGCTCCTGAGTGTAGTGATGAACATTTACAGCAGCAGCAGGAATGTGTTCACTGTTTTATGAGTTTAGCTTTCTGGGATTTTTCAGGTGTGCTCACGTACAGACAAGTCTCTGCCTGTAAGGGTCGTCCACGGCCGCCAGCAGCGGTTTGAACCCTCCTACCCGCAGGAAGGTGGGCTGGCGCTGGCTTATATGCGGAAGTTCGAGTTCCGCTTGGTAAAGTTCTTGGAAACTGAGACCCGACACACCGGAGTCAGGCTCCGGAATCGCAGCGCTAAACCCGGCTACACAAGGCAAGGTGAGTGTCCCATCATAGAGCGGACCCAGACCTGGGCCCGAGCTAATCTCTGTTTCTCTTGTTTCCGCAGTTATTTAGCGACGTCTCGCTCCCGTTACACAAATGTTCATAAACTTTACCCTTTTTCTAAAAAGTTGCACTTAACCTTTTTTAGGAAAAAGAGCGACTTCCACTTTTTGAAGCAGTTTTATTTTAAATTGTATCTAATTAAGGTAAATCCCATTCCCTGATAATATCAGACGTGTCTCACGGCACACCCACTGAGCTTCGGTGTGCTATTGCACTAAACTTGTGCACAACCTGAACTCTAAACCACTATACCTAATTATATGAAAATTAAACAGCTCTTGTTTGGTGCAAACTTCAATTATTTAAATATTGTGCAAATTTGTGCTGCAATCAGTTACAATTAGATGAAGCCGACCCAACAACAAAAAAGACCAAATATGTGTTTTGCTTAGCAAATTTTAAGTAGCCTATCATAACTCATTTTGCGTATTGCAGCAACCCCCGCTCATTTGTTTACTAAATATTTGAATGCTGAAACAACATTAAAACTTTAGTGGTCTTGCTTTATTTGTTATTTATAAGTTCAGATCTGATTTTGTCAAAGCGGTGCAACGTCAGTTAGAATAAGTGTGTCATTCAGTTTGTTTCCAGTGAAAGCAAACCAAAGAGGTGTGTGTGGTATAAACGCAGTCACTCCGAGTCAACATGTGTCTTGCAATACTGTTACTAAGCAACACTGTCTTCTTCCTGCGGCACTATGAAATGAGCGTGACGTCTGGGGCTCAAACTTAAAAAGGCAAATCTTGCACGCTTTGTTCCCCCAAAACATTCTTTCTTTTCAATATCACTTGGAGAAAAACGTGATTTGACACAGCTGTGGTGTGACGCGATGCAGTCGGGGGCTCAGGATGGCGAATGGCACTTGGAATCAGTGCAGCTGACCTGTGTGTCATTCCCTATTAAAGGAAGCCTTTCCATCTACTAATACTGTTTCCGCTGAAGCTCTTGTGCAAGCCTTTTTATTATGTCACACAGGGGAACTGAAGACTCATTTTGCAGTGCAAGACCTTTGATAGGACTGGGACATTTAAATGCTTGTGCTGATTTTTGTCAGAGAACAAGCTCTAAAATGCTTAAATTGACATTCCACTATGTTGGGAACTTGACAGATATGTTCCAAGAGGAAACTTCTCCAACTACTTTACAGATGTGTTGATATAGAAAGATTCTCATAATTCAAATGCATAATTCGACTGTTTTCCTCAGTTGAGAACAGGAAGAGGTGTGTCTGCTCATGTCAATGCATGATATCATTGGAGATTGCAAAACAAGCAGGGGCATGAGATGTGCTGTGTTTGTTCTCTCCATATTAGGAAATGATATTGATATGTCTTTCTGACACAACATCTGAGTTGCTGGGATCCAAGTTTTAGCAGTTTTCCTTTTTACCAGAAAATGTCCAAGCTGACTCAAAAACTATGAGCTGTAAAGGAAAAAAAAAAAAAGAATTTAAACTGAGCGAATCGATTCGGTGCTTTTCACAAGGGTTGTAAACAGGAACTTAAAATGCGTTGACAGTCCACAGGTTAACATTTATTGAGAAGGTCATATGAAAAAGGTTTGTTTCCTTTTTTTTTCAGGAGTTTGTTGTTTGCACCATGCAATGGTATAACAAGTAAACATTCATTTGTGCTGTTCTTGATTATTAGACTTTTTGCAGTAATTCTTGGAAGTAGTGAATTAAAGCTACAATGGCAAATCTGCAAAACAAGCTAGCTTATATCTTCATGCCTCTTAACAATGTTCTAATGTGATATAGCTATACATATTTTAAATAAAAACAAAAAACACAATGATTTGTCTAAAAACCTTATAGCCTGGCAAGCCAAATATGTGAATATATAGTCTGGCCACGACCCATAGACAGAATCTACAGTTGTCTCATCAAACCGTCTCTGCATGCTTAGACCCGCGCTATTTTAGAACCGGTTTTTATGTTTTTTTGTTATAAAGTTGCCAATATTTTTCAACAACTAAGCATCGTTTAATTTTCTGGATATTTCCAGAGAATAAAGTTAAAATGACATATAGTTATTTCTATCTATTGAAGATAAAGATTGAAATAGAATTTTTTCTAACAAAATTATAAAGTGGCATGTTTTGTGCAATTTAATATCCGTTTTCAAAAGAGCTCATTTTGATCATTGACATATATAGATTTTGATACACGGACTTTTGTTTTACAGTATATCGAACCATATTTCTGAGGAGATTTGATGAGTTAAAACTTTTGAAAATTCAGGGAAACATTGCATATTTTCTCTTTCAGATTCTTGCACTTCCACTTTAACAAGTGAAAAGAAGGAAAACGATCTTTTATGTAGCGTCTCTCAAGATAAAAATCACGAGGCGCTTCACAAAAAAAGAAGTATAAAAAAGATTTCAAATAAATGATTAAAAATGTTTTAAATGAGAGATAAAAATAATAATGTAAGGAAAGGAAGAGAGAAAATGAATAGGAAAGAGGGAAATCAGTGGATCGCGGTAAAGGCAGAATAAGAACAAAATAAGGAGAGGATGGTGATGAAGGTCACAAACAAGCCAGCTTGAACAGGTGAGTTATCAGCTGCTTTTTAAAGGAGACCGCTGAGTCCACTGATCTCAGGGGGAGATGTTCCAGAGTCTGGGGGCCACAGCAGCAAATTATCTTATCCCTTGGGTCCATGTGGCAGGGGTGAGGAGTGAGCACCACCCCACCCCTGCCACGTGGACCTCAAGGGATAAACTATCATTCCTGCTCAATAGTCAACTTTCCTCACGGGGTCCCCCATAAAGACAGTGGGAGGGTTAAACGCATTTATTCCCCTTCAGGCTTGAATGTGCAATTGTGTGGTGATGGCCTACAGCAGGTGCTGCTTTGTCCCTCAGGGACTATGTGAAAGCACAATGATGACTTACAACTAGAAAGACACCGCTGGGAGGACAAAGCATTTTTATGCATGATGCACTTGAAAATGTATGTCTTACCTGCCCAGTACAATGTTTTGGTACAAAAGTCATGTTAGGTGGAGTTTTTTTGGTTTCCCAACTACAAGATACAATCGTTGTTTTGCCAGCACAGGAACCACATCTTTCATCACCAGACTCATAAATCATGGTGTCAGCTTTAAATTTAAAAGTGTGAAGAAGGCACAATATGATATCTGGCAAAATCTCCTCCTCCAGATGCTTTTCTAAATTGCCCTGTAGACTTGTTCTTGGATACGGTTAACACAATTTTCCACCAACATTTTTTTCCTAGTCTGGGGCAGATTTGCTGCTTTGCATCTTTCCTCTGAATAAGTAAATCATACAGTAACATTCACAGGGTGGCCTCGTAACGTTGGCTTTAATGTCAACAGCCGCACTTCCGGTTTGGAAGGGCAAAGGTGTTTCGATATCCTCACGGCTAGCGGTAAATATGTGCACGTTGGCCGACAAACACTTTAAAACCAGTACACACACACCCACACACACACACACAAACATATTCTGCAAATATGGTTTACCATTTTCCTCAATTATTGGTCTAATAAATTTTATAAAGTACTAATTTGTAACATGTTCTTGACCTTAACCTCAGTCTTGCTTCCAGTAAATAGCTTGCAACCTCAGTCTTTCAAGGGAAAAGGAATGAAGAACAGGCATGGATAAAGCAGTGAAACTTAATAGTGCATGAAATTTTTTTTGTACTCCGCCAAGTAATCTGAGCTGTGTCGTAACGTCTCGCTGTCCCTTTAAATTCCATGCACATGCGATATTATTAGGATTTCATATTAGCATCTGCTTTTTAGGCAATGCACGTGTGTGTGTTTAGCCACTGAAATGTTTGGCCGATGGGGAATCTAAAAGGAGCCTAAAAAAAAAAGCTTGAAGTTGTCAGTGAAATGAATCTGCGCAACATGTCCAGGGTGTGTCTTGTCTTCGTGCAGGTTGAGCAACCGTGCCGATGTGCATGGGAACACAACTTCCCACTGTTTTGTGTAGCGATTAACAGGAATCATACAAATGTCAATGCATACAAAAGATTTCTCACCATCTCTCAAGCCCAAAACCTCAGGATGTGTTGCTGGAGGGGTTAACAGCTAAAACTTGCCCATTTGTCAGAGAAAAAATAAAGCAAGCAATGATGCCTTTGCCTTGCACTGCATCATTAAAACATGCCTTATGCCTGAGTTTTGCTAGCTTAACCTTTCGAAGAGTAGAGTAGCAACGGTTTGCTGCTTTTATATTTATCAGAAGGAATTATAAATTGTATTTGCAGATGCTTTTATCCAAATTAACTTAGGACAATTAAGTGTTCAGGATACGCTGCCCCTTATGAGGTGCTTAAGATTGAACCCCAGCTCCACCGCTTCACTAGGATTTAGACCGTTTCATAGTAGTTTACGCCTTGAGGCTGAGGTGTCGTCTGACTTGCCTCCAAAAGGTCTGATTAGAAAATTTGTGTTTAAAATCAGATGAATCACTATTTCACCTTTGTGTGTGGTCCTGAATGTGGGACGGTTGTTGCCTTTGCCGCTTTTATCCCTGTTGAGGTGAATTCCTGTTTTTCACAGTTTCAAATATCTGTTGTATTCCCAGGTGCATCATGAGCAGCAGCTACAGCGTCTCTCTGGCTGGACCCGCCCCATGGGGCTTCAGACTGCAAGGAGGCAAGGACTTCTGTCAGCCCCTCACCATCTCTCGGGTTAGAGGAACGCACGCACATGCACACGCACACGCACACGGATACCCTCGGTGACAGTCACCTCAAAGGAATGTCATCCACACATGTTTAGCAGTTTGTCTCTTAAGTGTTTTTGGCTCTTCCTTTGTGAGCTGTTTCTGGATTTCGATGCCTTTTTTAACAGCCCACTGGCTGTAAATAACTATCGTCTCACGAACAATGGCTGTTCACCTCATTCTGGTCATTCAGCTGAGAGACATGCGTCCTGTCCTCTTCCCTGGTATTCGTTCCTGATTAAAGACACAGGAGACCTGGGACGGCTGTGGAAGCTGTTGAATGTAACTCTAGAGAGCCACAATGGTTCTGGAATAACTATTCAAGACTTTCTGACACAAAAATTCAGAGTGAACTGACTGGCTTCTGTCAAGCCACAAACTGGCTAGTGGATGACTTATTGTTTAGAAGAAGTCACGGCCTCTGGGTAAACACACCCGCAATGTTTATTTACAAAATATTGGAGGACTTTGATGACATACTGCGGGAAAAAATGAGTAAGAAAACCTTCAGTACAGTTATGTAGGAATCGGTTTTAGGTGTGACTGAAGTGTGTCAGTAATACAAGCGGTTCTTATTGTCAAACACAACTGAAGTAGGCAGCTCGCTCTCCAAGGACAACAGTTATTCAGGTCACTTGTTTCCTGTTATGAAATTCTAACGCTGGTGTCAAGACCCAGGTCAGTTCCTCTGCTTATTTGTTGTTGGCAGGATCAGTTACAGAAATCCGTGTGTAAAAGCATGTCTTATTTGGTAAGAGTCATCTGTTAGGACATAGCTACACTAGGAGGATGGAACAGCCAGCATTGCTTTCCAGACTATTTTAAGTCTGGCTACTGTGATAATGGCGGTATGCAGGATGTGGTGTTGTCCGTAGCTCTGTCACAGCTGATGAATGTAGCATGAAGGAACTCCAGACACATCAACAGATTAGACGTTGACCTTCTGAGACTTTTTAGTTTATTTAATCACTATTGACAATGTACCAATAAACTTATTAAAATATAGCGTTCAATCTTTTCTGCAAAATGATCATTTTATCATAATTTACTTATTAATTAGTAAAACTGTTCAATTAAATTATTTACCACGGTCAGTGTTTTTGCAGATGTTTATTTATTTTTTTATTATTATTTAATCTGGGCAACCAAAAGCCAATTCATGAATGGGACTTGTTTCCTTTATGCCCTGTGAATATTTTATATGCTCGGGTCCTCTGCCAGAGGCCTGGGTATCTTGGCTGTTCCTAGAACTGCACTTTTCTGGACTGAGATGTCTGTTTTTCCTGGGATCTGCTTTAACTACTCCTCCAGTTTGGGGGTTACTGCCCCGAGTACCCCAATGACCATGGGCACCACCGATGTCTTCCACTTCGTCCCTGGTACTTCTCTAGTTTGTCGTGATCCTTTTTCCTGATGTGACCATCACTTGGTATTGCCACATCAACCACAACAGCTGTCCTCTGATGTTTGTCCACCACCACAATGTGGTTGGTTCGCCATCACCATTTTGTCAGTATGTATCTAGAAGTTCCACAGCAGCTTGACTCTCTCATTCTCAACTACTTTAGGGGGTGTTACCCACTTTGACCTTAGAGCTTCCAGTCCATACTATGTACAGATGTTTCTGTACACGATGCCAGCTGCTTGGTTGTGGTGTTCCATGTATGCTTTCCCTGCCAGCATCTTACACCCCACAGTTATGTGGTGGATTGCATAGTCTACACCTCGCCTCTGTCAGTGTGCCCCAGGGCAGCTGTGGCTACATCGTAGCTCATCACCATCTGTATGTATGTGTGTGTGTGTGTGTTGTTGTTGTTAGCTTGTAGCTACATTGTCAGAGTTTGAGTGTCGATAATCTTCCCCCACTCTCACAGCCCCGTTCTCGGCTCCATTTCTGTTTTTTTTTTCTGGAAATGATGCAACCAAGATGGCAATGGTGGTTGTAACATAACTGCACAGAAATCAAACACACACAACACAAACAACAAATCACACTTTTTAAGTTACAGTGACTTAATCAAATGAATTTGAGTTGATTCTTTGAAGCAAATTCTGTGTGTGACCGGGTTATTTACTTACTGCAATTTAATCACACAGACAAACCCTAGCTTCCAGACTTTGGAATGTGCTGCTTTTGGTTTTTATGGAGTTTGGAATATGTGGATTCTTAAAAAAAGTAAAGCAAATACATATTTTTTCTAAGATTTTTGACATTGAAAGCTGTTAGATATTTTTGATTACATATCATGCATCATTGTGCATGTCGGCAACTCTTTTGTGAATCTCTTTGTGACGTCAGTCTGTGAAAGGTGTTGTAAGAACAAACCTTTAGGATTCCTCAGAAACTTTACCAAAGGAAAATATGTTTTGTGATGTAGAGTGTTGACATTAACAAAGATATAAAGTAGAATAGAAATCTGCTAAATCACAGCTGCACATAAAGTGGCGGCTATCACCAGCAAGTAGCTCAGATTTCTTGTTTTTGTTCAGGCACTGAGGAAGCCTAATCCTCTTGTTTATTTGTCCCTTCTGGATCCTTTAGGTCCCTAGATAAATAAACGGGATAAATGCTGTCCTGATTATGTTCTGGTAAAGCATCAAACAGCATCTTTAAGTCTTTGTCCAATTCACTTTATACTTTTTCAATTTCACTTTGTTGCACCTTTTTTCTGATTTTCAAACATCTGCCAACAGTTTAATCGCTGCTTCAGTTCCATCATTAGATAAGTGAGGAGAAAATTGTTTTGACCTCTGTCTAATTTTAGGGTTCAGTGGAAACCTGCAATGTTGCATTCTGGTTAGGAGTCTGTTGACGGCACATTCAAAGTGTTTATTTTGTTCAGATGGATGGTGTTGCCATGGAGTAATGATGCAATTACTTCACTGATGCTCACCACATGTAGCTGATCTGAAGGTTGTTCTCCAAAAAGACGACAGGTTTTGGACATTCCAGGTCTACACATTCCAGCTTTAGTACTTTTAATAGTACTTAACCTCTTGGGACCCAAACTTGTATTTGGTTTGATTTAAAAAAAAGCATATCTAGCTATTACAGATTAGTCGACTGTAATTAACAGAAACAAAATTACAAAAATTTTAATTAAATTAAAATTAATTAAATAAACTTGTTGTCAAATTTCCTAAAAAAGAAAGACAACATTTTTTTTATGAAAGTCATATAAAGTATCTATAAATAATAACAAGGTCTGAGTAGAAGAGATTATACTACATGAAATATATTTACTCAATTTGACAGTTTGTTTGTATGATCAGGCTTAAAGCAGAGTGTTTAGATCTACTTCAGGAATAATTTATGGAAAGAGCGCCTTTTATAGGGGTGTGTGTGTGTGTGTGTGTGTGTGTGTGTGTGTGTGTGTGTGTGTGTGTGTGTGTGTGTGTGTGTGTGTGTGTGTGTGTGTGTGTGTGTGTGTGTGTGTGTGTGTGTGTGTGTGTGTGTGTGTGTGTGTGTGTGTGTGTGTTGGAGGGGTTCAGTCTTCTTAGTTTGTGGTTATTCCACCTCCTTTCAAATTTCTCTTGACAAGTTCCCACAGCTGGAAAATTCTATCAAGCTGCTGCTACTGTAACATAAAAGTCTGTAAAATCGCATTACAAAGTTACCACAGCTGTATTTTACACGCGGAGGTCGTTACTGTTTATTTTCCCCCTCTGGTCTGTTTTGATCTCATGTTCTTTTCATTTGCTGTTTATAAGGAGTTATAATTCCTTGTGTAAACACAACATGAGCTAATTTTAGTTCTGTGTTTGCAGAAGGTGTTCTACCTCCAGATGTGATCTTTTTAAACCTTTCATTTGAGGAGAGAATCTAAATTAGAAAAATAACCATTTAAATTATTCCTTTTTGCTCAAATGGAATTTAACAACTGAAAGGTTTTTATTTTTACATATTTCATAAGAAACGCCCAGTAAAATTTCCAGTACATGCAAGTAGGGCAGTTGCTACATTTTCTGTGTTGTGAATCTTTATTTTGTTTGCAGCACCCTTATTGCCCTCTTTGATCTAACTTTACACATGCTCTTTACTCACCGCCCAATATTCTTCCCAGACATTTTTCTGAAACTCTTTAAATCCAGAAGTCGAGACACTGGCCAGAAGCACAGTTTAATTTCCTCTCTGCAGACTTGACAGACTTCTATAAAATGCTTTGAAATACAGAAGATCCCCCTAGCTCTAGATCTGCTTGAAATAACTTTTCTAAACTAAAAGTTTCATCGAAAATCTAAATGTATGTACATTTTAGCATTTTTTTCGGGCTTTTGTTGAATTTCTGAGTTGTTTTAATAACCCAGGCAGGGTCATAAACATGGTTAAAAATAAACTCCTCTTGTTCTGGGAGGACCACAGTCTGTCTGGTATTGGACATAACTTCTTTAGACAGGATGAAGAAAAAAAATAAAGGCAAGCTGTGAAATGTACCCTGCAATTTTGGAAACCACACAGACAGATAGCCTGTGGTTGGAGCTGCTTAACAGAGAAACGCTTTCCACCTTTTTAAGCATTCACTGCAATTACATCCATCATTTGAAAATAAACAAAAAGATATAAATGAAAACCAGTGGGAAAACTGGTGAGGTCTGATATCACAGGACACAGAAACTGACTTGGACCTTCTGCAGTTTGCATATAGAGCACTTTGGGGAGTTGAGGATGCCACAGTCACTTTAGCAAATCATCTTGATGGAAATGGTGCACAAGCTAGGCTTTTTATTAGTTGACTTCATCTGCTTTTATTGTGCAGCCCCACATTTTAATTGATAAATTTTGGGAACATTATAATTGAATCTCAACATTGTGCATTGGATATATTTGATTAATCAACTAGAACATGAAGTGAGTGTGAATAACACGGTTTAATAAGAGTTTGTATTGCTTTGGTTATCAGTCTCTTAAAAATAAGGCTTACCCAAACCAAATATTGAAATGATTCGGTAAGTTGACGATAGATC